CAGCAGAGCCCATCATGGAGTCAATTACGTTGTGTAAGATCACATCATGGGGAATTACTAGGTCTCAGCTACTAAAGTACTAAGAATCATGGCTCAGCCAAGTTGACACAAAACCCAATTATCTCAACAATTATTTGGAATGAAAAAATAGGAAATAAGGAGGAAGGATAAATAGTTGGATATTTGGCCTTGGTAATAGAAATGAAGCTGGAAATTGCATAGTGGAATTTTAACTTCATTGAAAATGCCTTTTATCTACAACATAGATGGTGGCTAGTTACATGGACTTCACCGGATAGAATACAGAGAATCAAATGGACTACACCTCTAGGAGGAGACAATGAGAAGTACAATATCACCAGCAAAAACAAGACCATATGACAAGTGTGAGACATACCATCAATTGCTCATATGCAAGTTCAAGTTAAAGCTGAATATCAAGTAGTTCTAATGCCATTAAAAAAAAAGTTTCTCTGTATTTTGGTCACTTGTTTGAACTACTCTTATCTTGTTTCTTCATGTAAGCTGCAATCGTTCTCTCTGAGACACTGTGGTGTTATTGTATTTGTATTTTATTGGTGATTGTGTGTTTTTCCCGGTGATTCCATTCTTTATTTTGATTTGATTTAACCAAGGGAGCAGGAGGGGTTTGCTCTACTGCTTGCTAGCTTAGCATGGACTTAGGTGCTCACAACTTATCTCCTGGTGGAATGTGCATAGTTCTCTGCTTGTTCATGTACAGCAGTTGAGAGAGGACTAGATTGGTGCTGGCTGCTGTCTTCCATTGATCAGGTGGTGCAGTAGTGGGTGTGGCCCTTGCTTTCTGGTCAACAGCCACTGGTTTGAGCAGTGCTGATTGTTGTTGCCCTGACTGAACAGTGATGCAGAAGTTCAAAATGGTCAGGCTATTTCAGAGTGCCTGACAATTCACCTTTCTGTTTACATCTTTATTCACCAATTTTGTTCCATTTCTTCTCCAAGTTTGCAGTTGATCTACATCTGCATTCTTTCATCTGAAACTCAGGGTTTGAGTATTATAATCTATATCTGCTTCGTTTGATCTCTCAGGTCTTTGTTGAGAGGCTCTGAATAGCTTGTCTGCCATCTCACTCAAAGTCTTCTCAAGAACAAGGTTTTGTAGGTCCACAGTTGTGGTGTGTTAATTTGGCCATGCTACTTGTAACATGCTTCATAATTTACAATAGAGTCCAGATTGCTTTTGAATGTTGTCTTCCTGCTCTTCCTCAGTCAAACCTAATAGGTTTCATAGTTGTTCTTTCTCTTGCATGCTTGGCTAAGTGTTGCCCTCCCTCTAATTTCTCCTCATTATGTTTACTGGCATTAAGTGAATGAGCACTTCACTGTTCTTGGTACAGTTTGTCTCCAAGGGATCTAATCAGTGGTAATAGCCTTGCTGGCAGCTGCTGACTTAAATTAAATGCAACACATGTTTTTTTTAAAGAAATATGAAGGTAAGTAAAAAAGCATTGCTATCAAATTATCAATACCTTTATCAAATAAGAATACCAAAAAAGAGAAAACAACAACAACAAAAACCAAAGCTGAAACAAATGACAGCGAGTTGCCCTCAGGTTGTTTGGCACTTTTTCTGTTTACATTATGTTTGGTTCCTGAAGTGACAAACTCAAGATGTAGTATTTCATCAAAAGTATACTGAGTTTATGAAATGAATAAATAAATTTTACAAGCATAAAAAAGAATACCAAAATGGGAAGCTATTATCTTTTTTTTTCAAGACAATAACACAAAAGCATCTTTATTACAATAAATGAACCCAGTGAAACCCAGAGATCAGTTGGCTAATGCAGTAAGAGCTTCCATCACATTGCCCATGCACTCCCCCGCAGGCTGCCCAGGCTCTCTGCTGCTGCTCTGGAGCCCTCCATCTCTGTCACTGTCAGACCCACATCTTCCTTTTTTCTTGCTAGTTCCTTCTCCCACTCTGGTTTGGCTTTCTGTTCCCTCTACAGTCTGTTTCCAGTCACTGCCATGGCTGTCTTAGGGCTGGAAATCTGGATCCCGTTCTCCTCTGCATAGTCGGCCTGGCCAGCGCCAGGTCTGTTGCGCCACTATCATGCTTCCAAGGCTTTTTCTGGAGGCTACTCCACACTGCTGGTCTTAATCTCCAACTCCAGCTCCACATCCTCCTCAGGAGCCATGTCCATCCCCTGCAGTTATTACTTCTTGACATATCCTCTATCTAGGTCTATAAACTTCTGAATATGGTGCTTCCATCTCTCTAATACTTCTCTAAAGAATTCTGCACTCTTTGACTTACACCATGTCAAAATGGCAGCTTTAGCCTCCTTAAAGGACTCAAGCCATGTTCTTTAAAACTGCATTTTGAAGATCTAGCGTCTGGGATCTTAAAGGCTTGGAGTTAAACAAGCAGCCATCTAGCAGGGAAGCAAATAAGCTCACATTGGAAGAAGCACACCAGTCTGTGTGATCATGAGGTGTCAATGGCATCAGGTATCAGGTATCAAAAGATCCAAAACAAACAATTATATCGATGCAAAAGAGGGGGGTTGGCGTGGAGACCCAAAGCCTATCTGTAGACAGTTGGATAACCCTCCACAGAAGAGTTATAAGGAAGGGATGATTCAACCAAGGTGCAGTATAGCGCTGACAAATTACACATCATTCCTCTAGTTCCTGAATGCTCCACCCTCCCTCCCCCACTACCATGACCAAGGCTGAAACTCTAAGGAGAAGAAGCAGATGGCTGCTATTCCAAGGGCACAGAATTGGTGGACGCTGGACTTTGGTTCATATCTCTTACCTTCAGGGAGCCCGTTGAATAGTGGCCTGGAACTACCATATGCTGACTTTTAATATCTTCTTTGCTTCATGATGACATGCATTAATCTGGTAGGCATAGCTCTGCTGCTGTGAATGAATATTATTGAAATTTGCCCCATTATTGGTGTAAATAGTATCCAGTCACTTAAGAGTTTAATCTGTACAAATCAACAATTCATGTATTGCAATTCTTAGCTGGTCTATACTTGTATAGTTTCCTTTTCTCAACAATGTTTTAAATTCCACCCCGTTGGCTAGACAATGACACTGTCAATGTGTAGAGGTTACACACTGGACTGCTAGCTGCAAGGTCCGCAGTTTGAAACCCTCAGCCAGCCCAGAGGGGGAGGGATGAGGCTTCCTACTCCTGTGAAGACTTACAGGCTTGGAGACTCACAGGGTCAGCTCTACCCTGCCCTATAGGGTCACTATGAGTCAGTATTGACTTGATGGCAGATGCCCCAAAAGGATGATTGATACTGTTTTCTAACATAAAATGACAGTGATGTCTCCAAGATGAACCACGGATATGCGAATGGATTTGGGGCTTGTAGTTCATTCTAGCTCCAATCACAGAACAATTCATTGTTAGGATATGGCCCTGCCTCATGCCTGCCTTTATGAAGAGATCACTGAAAATATGAATGCTATTGCAAAGTGTGGCAAAGAAACTAGATGCTACCTGCTATCAGAAAGAATAGCATCTGGGATCTTAAAGCAGCCATCTAAGTGGGGTGTCAGCAAAGTCCACAGGAGAAAGCACACCAGTCTGTGTGATCCAAGGATAGTGAATAATATAATACAAATCTATAGAAGGGAATGGCATCAGAGCTTAAATTGTGAACACCTGGTTTTCATAAGATTATAGAGGCTAATGCAAAGCCCCAAATCCATTTGCAGGGTCTACACATGGATTAACCTATGATGAATTCCCTCCAATCATAGTTGAGGAATGTGACTAGCCTTGTTATCAGACAGAGAACAAAGTTGATTACAGCAGATGCAGTTAGGTTAAGATGTAGTATCATATCCTTTACTATCCTTTAGACCCATTTTATTTTTTTTATTTTTTTTGTTTTCTTAAACAGAACTCACTTAAATTTTTTAATCTCTGTAAGTTAACATACCATGTATTTTGGTCTAAAAAGTGTTTCCATATATGAGTAACCCCCGCCCCTTGTGCCAATAGTATTTTAAATCCTATGCCATTGGCTATTTTATTTTATTTTTTTCTTTTTATTTTTTTTAACATTTTATTAGGGGCTCATACAACTGTTATCCCAATCCATACACACATCAATTGTGTAAAGCGCATTTGTACATCGTTTCTCAAAACATTTTCTCTCCATTTAAACCCCCGACATTAGGTCCTCATTTTTCCCCTCCCTCCCCACTCCCCACTCCCGCATGAGCCCTTGATAGTTTATAAATGGGTATTTTGCCCTTTAGACCCATTTTAAAGCAGTTTATTTTTCTTTTTTTTTTAAGTGAAGGGGCAATACAAGTGGATTAAGCCCCTGGGAAATCCCCACTGACCATGGACCAGGAATGTGACTAGCCTTGCTAACATGCAGAAGTCATTGGAAAGTGGATTGTTGCAGATGCAGTTAAGTTAAAATTTAGCATCGGATCTCCCTTATGGTTCATTTAAATGTATTTTGTTTTTGATACTATCTGCTTTCTTTTAGAATGAGATTTTTATCTGTTTCACTTTGTTATTTTTGTCAGATTTTTTTTGCTGTTTTTCTATAAATGCAATCCAGGATAGATATCTCTATAGAGACAGTGACTAGATTAGTGGAGGTATGGCAGGGGAGGTTGGGAGAAGTGGGGAGCTAATAATGATGAGTACCAGAATGAAGAAAATGTTCTAAAATTGATTGTGGTGTTGATGGTGCAACTCTTCTTGATGTGATTGAACCACTGAATTGTATGATATGTGAATTATATGCCAATAAAACTGATGGGAAAAAAAAAGAGTTACAGTCTCAGAAAGTAAAAATTGTGTGCCTTGAGTTTGGGGAACAACAACAACAAAAATCACAAGGGGAAAGAGAGTGAATAGGATAAAGTTTCTCAATGAAATTCTCTTAGGATAGTACTGGCTGCCCTTAAATAACAGGCAGGTGCATTGTTCTGATGAAAACAAATTCCTTACCGCCACTATCTTTTTTCCCTTGTGTACCAGTGACCAGGCTATGGAGGCTCCTGAAAAGGAACAGCCCCCATGCATACATCACTATATTACTCTGACCCATTGGCATCGACTGAAAAGCTGTATTTGAACAATAGCACCCAGCAACCACAGGACATCTTACTGCCACTTTCCTCACCAATGCAGTTTTCCATTTTCTTAAGGCTTGAACATAAAAAACTTCCATCATCTTCCCGTGACCCTCAAGAAAATCTATAACAATTACACTTTTGGAATCTGATAAGATAGTCACTATAACTTTCTGAGCTGAACTTTCTGCCTTGAATTTATCCAGCAGAACCCCTCAGAATTTTCCATCTTATTGGACTTCCTTAAAACAACCTTTTTATTGTGAAAGAAAGGTTTACAGATGAGGTAGTTTATTATGCCAACCTGGCCGATAAACACATGTGGGGTTAATTGAGGGGCGGAGAGATAAATGGTTCTGTGAGCCTCACCTTTCTAGTTCTCGGGTCTCTTGTTTTGTGATGGTTGGACCAGGGTGCAGCTGCCTTAGCCAGTTTCCTGCTTCAGCTGGCAAGACTCACTTCCTGCAAGATATCCCTGAGGAGAGGCCACATGGACCTACCCCGATGCAGCCATGGGTGCTGGAGCAGCCATGTGGAGACCCCTGACAGTGCTGAGATGCTTACACATTCACAGACACGGCTTTCCTCCTGCAGTCGGCATCATAGTGTGTGTTTTGTGAGATGGAGGAGGACTTTGTGGATTGGTGTTGGACATATGGGTTAATGTTGGACTTGTGGGCTTGGGCAGCCCTGGGTTGGGATGTTTTCTTGATGTGCTCTTAACCTTTATACAAAACTCTCTCTTCTTATACATGAGTTTCTGTGGGTCTGTTTCTCTAAAGTACCCAGACTAACACAACAGAGTAGAGCATCAGCTTTATCTTAAAAAATTTATATATTTTTGTTTCGTCTCATTAATTTCATTTCCTTCAATTGACCATCACTTATCCTACTTCTTCCCTGTGCTTCCTGTTTCCTTTTCTCCTTTCTTAACATTTCCAAACTTTGTATTTGCGCACATTGCCGTTAAAATGGTTGTTTTAAAATGCGCATACTCCACTAGTTAGTGTTTCTCTTATGAATGTGTCTATTGCTTGGCTAAAAATTGAGTAGTGGGGGTAAGTTCAAATCCAGACCTAAAGAGTGACCCAAGGGCTATAGTTTTGGGGATTCCATGAGCCTCTGTCCAGCCAGCGAGTGGGATCTTTTTTATGATTTTGAATTTTCTTCCATGTTTTTCTTTCACTCTGTCGAGGGTCTTTTAATGTGATCTCTAAAAGCAGTTGGTAGTGGTAGTCAAGCACCATCGACATAATTCTTCTGGCTTCAGGCTTATGGAGACTGAGGCTAGCACGGTTCATTAGTTCATTGAACTCATTGTTCCCAAGTGTCCTTTAATTTTTGTCATTCTCTTTTCCTCTGGATGGGGAGAAACCCGTAGTTTCACCCTAGATGGCCACATATGAGCCTTTACAACCTCAATTGCCACTCATCAAAGTAGGAAGTAAACATTGTATTTGTGAACTGTTGTGCCAATTGATGTCAGTGTCCCCTAAAACTATGTGCACCTAATTTTGAAGGTACCCTAATGAAACTAAAGACAAGTGTATTACTGAGAGAACTTGTCAGCACCTATCCACTGATAGTAGAGCCAGGTTTTGAAATCTTCTGTTTGGAATAACCCCATGCACATATGAACTGGAATTCTAGTAGCTATACCTTTTTACTTCCTCTCTATAATCATTATCACTGTTGTAATTAGTTATATCTTCCTTTTGTGGCTATATTCTATTTTCCTTTTTTGTTGCATCTCAATAATTTGAACCATTCAGAGCCTGCTCAGAAGCTTGATGGCACATTCCTAAAGTGGTTAATTACAGACCATCTTTTATGTGCCTCTTCCCTCTCCAGGAAACTTTGGTCTTTCAAAACGCAGCTCCATTGTGAAAGATCTGACTTTATCAGGTAAAATTAGTGACTTTGGATTCTCTCCCACTTCACTCCCACCCCTTTCATATAAACATACACACACACACACACAAAACTGTGTGTCTGTTCTAAAACATAACACTTTGTATTGCAGAATAACAAATTGCATTTCTGTCTCCCCCACTAGATGGTGATGTCCTCAAGGGCACAGATTGTGACCTATTTTAGCTTTATGACATTCATTCATTCATTCCTCATATTAAAATAAAAACCTTGCTAGGTACCAGGAGCCAAACATGTGAGGTGACCTTAAAAATTCATGGAAAAATGGAAATAAAAGAGAATGGAATTCTACAAGGTTTTTTAACCCCCCCGCATACACCTGACTCATATTAGCTGCACAAATGGAGAATGCACTCTAATGATGACACAGATAAATACTCAGCCAACTGTGAATCGATTTTGAAAGCATCATTTTGGAAAATTACAAGGGAGTGCATATGAAGGATATCACTTTGGAGATCAGGGATGGCCTTCCTGCACTAAGTAAAATCTAAGCCAAGATAGGAGGACTGGGTAGTAGTTGGTGAAATAGAAACAGGATAGGATTGGAGCTGGGAGGGGAAAGCATTTCTAGCAGAGGAAATAACTCAAAACAGAGAAGGTGAAACTCTATAGTGTATTGTGAGAACTGAAAGCTCATTGGCCTGTGTAGAGCTGGAGAGGCAAGCAGAGGTGGAACAATAAGACCACGCAAACGCTGGAACTATCTTGTTAGGTGCTGTTGGGTTGGTTCCGACTCATAGGAACCCAATGTATAACAGAAGGTACCACTGCCAGGTCACATCATCCTCACAATTGTATATTTTTGATTGTGTCTGAGCCCATTGTTGTAGCCAGTGTATCCAGCCAGCCAGCTCATTGAGGGTCTCCTACTTTTTTCTGACCCTCTACTTGACCAAGCATTGTGTCTTTCTCCAGGGGCTGGTCCTTCTTGATAGCATGTCTAAAGCACATGAGATAAAGTCTCACCATCCTTCCTTCTAAGAAACATTCTTGCTGTATTTCCTGAAGACAGACTTGTTTGTTCTTCTGGAAGTCTACGGTACTTTCAACATTCTTCATCAACAGCATGATTCCAGTGCCTCAATTCTTCTCTGATCTTCCCTAAGTCCAACTTTCAAATGCATAAGAGGTGATTGAAATGACCATGGCTTGGGGCAGTGATATCTTTATTTTTTAGTACTTTAAAAGGATCTTTTGTAGCAGAGTTGTCCAATGCAATGTGTACTGTTTAGTTTCTTAACTACCCTTCCATAGGCATGGATGAAGGATCCAAGTGAAACAAAATCTTTGACAACTTCAGTCTTCTCTCTGCTTATCATGATGTTCTCTATTGGTCCAGTTGTAAGGATATTTTAATTTATACATTAAGGGTGTAATGTAGACTGAACATTGTAGTCTTTGATCTTTATTAATGCATTAACTCTACTTTCAGCAAGAACACTTTTCCTAATTTTTAAGCCATATAGTATCTTCTTGTTCTATTTGAACTACTACTTCTTGGTCTATGTACAGATTCTACATGAGCACATTTGTTCTGGAATTCCCATTCTTAGCAATGTTATCAATAATTTATTATAAACAACAGAGTCTAATGGCTTTATATAGTTGATCTAAAACAAATAGACACGTTTCTGGCATTCTCTGCTTTCTGCCAAATCTAGCTGACATCAGCAATGACATCTCTCTCTCCACGTCCTCTTCTGCATACAGTTTGAATGTCTTGCAGTTCCCTGTCTATGCACTGCTGCAACCATTTTTGAATTATCTTCTGTAAAATTTGATTTACATGTGATATTAATTATATCACTATAAGATCATGAATTGCATTATTATAAGGCCATTTGTATAAACTATAACAACAAACACACAAACAAATAAACTCATTGCCATTGAGTTCATGTCAACTCATAGTGGCCCCACAGGACAGGGTAGACTTGCCCGTGCAGGTTTCTGAGACTGTCACTTTTTACAGGCGCAGAAAGTTCCATCCTTCTCCAGGTTTAAACTATAGTTTATTTAAACTTATTTCTCTCTTCAGTGAATAATCAGTGCTTCAAACAGGCGATGGATTAATTAATGTTTATGGAAGGAAGGAGAGAAAAAGAGAGAGAAATGTCCCATCATTCCAGTTGGTGGTAAAAAAAATATATGAAATACTGTCTGGCCTCAGGGTGCTTGCAGTACTATTGGAGAGACAAGATAGCCCTGCAAAACATGTAAACACAGGCCCATTGATTAAATAATAAAAGAGAATAGCACAGGTAAAAGTGTTCAAGTCTTGAGAGATTGTGGTGACCAGGTGGTTTCAGGGAAGCTCATGTTAAGGAAGATGGAGCCTGAACTGGATCTGTCTGATGAGGGTGATTTAACTAAGAAGAAAGGAATTTTAAAAACACATTCTTAAGAGTCTTACATGGAAACGAGGACATGCAAAAGCAAGTAGCAGGAGGCAACATACCCCTGTTACTCATTTCTTGATTCCTTTTCTTATTAGCTTCTGTTAACTTAAATCTATTTGAGGACATCTAGGTGTTTCCTGAAAGATTGCAGAACATGGGCAGTCTCAGTCTGAGACGGGGAGGGAAGGCAGTGGGGCTCAGGCTCATAGAGCTGGACCAAATAGAATCTACTTCTTGATATGGATGTGTGTTTTAAAAATAAAAGTGCATCTTAATAAAAATGTGCCCAATGTTAATTAAAAAAAACACATTTCAGTTAAAATAAAAACATTTTCACATCAGATAAATTTTTGCTTGACTTACAAACTTCAGACAATTTAATTCAGAAAATTCTGTAACAACAAATGCCAGTGGACATCCTTTTTGCATACCATTGTTGTAAACACAGTTTTCCAATTGCAGCTTGCATATCAAAGTTGGATGTCTTTGAATTTTGATTTTTTCCAATTTTAGCTTGTGATATGATTTTCTCTACATTAAATGGTATGTCTTTTAATGAAATTGGAATTTGTTTTCCCCTTCAGTGTTCTTTTCTTTTATTTTAAAAATTGTGGCAAATACACATGTATGTAACATTTTCTATTTCAACATTCAATGAAATTGTGTGCATAACACATTGAAATACACCATTACC